AAAGGGGGTTATGGGGGGAGACGTGGACGGAGGGTGGGAGTTTGGGGGGCTCCCCACAACAGGTTTCCATTTTTCTTTCGTATCATATCCTGATTTATTTCCCCCAAAAAAATGTTTTTTTATCCCCCTCCCACCCACCAACCCCAATGACACCACCAGTCCCCCCCACCTCCAGTGCCGTACTCCTCAGCTCCCTGGGGCGCCTGTTGATCTCCAGCAGCGCGGCCGCCTGAGACAACAGCGGCTGTAGCGGACTGTAGCAAGGACCAAACGCCCAACGGTAACCGCCAACCGCACCTCCAACCTCAACCCCACCACCGCCACCACCGGCCCCCTCTCGCGGTGCTTTTAAAAACGTGTACGGCACCTCCTCCATATTCGCCCGCATGAGCACCACTTCCCTCGTCTCCAACAGCAGACTGGGGCCCCCGGAATTGGGTGGGCGGTGTGACCCATGGGTCACAGCGGTGGGCGGGGTGGGAGGACTGATGGCGCTGCCGGATGCGTCAGTGGAAGCGGCTGCTGCTGCTGCTGCCTGCGCCGCCACTGCTGCCACAGGGGGGCCGCTGGACATGGACTTGACAGCAGCGAGGGGAATCCTAAGAGGAGCGCGGGAGCAGGGGGGAGAGGTGTACGCGGTACGTACGTGCGTTCGTGTTTTTTTGTGTGTTTAGTTTGTATGTATATCAGGAGAAACATCCCTTCCCCCCTCCCTCCCTCCCTCCATTCCCTCGTCCTTCCCGCCCCTCCTTCCAGGTTTATCACGGCTCTATACGGCGAGCACGGGCCCCAACCCAACCCACTCCACCCGGGCCCCCCCCCACACCTCCTCAAACAACCCATCCGCGCAAATCACACACACGCGCATACATACGTACATACGCACACATGCTTACATACCCTCCCCCCCTCCCCTCCGCCCCCCGCACACACATACACTTCCATTCAAACACCCGCCTTCCACCCCAGCGCACCTGACTATGGGTACCCTCAGGTCATCTGGTTCGAAGAACAGCGACCGGGTGCACAGCCTCACCCGGCCCGCCACCAGGGGCGCCCGCTGCCAGTTACCAGCCGCCACACGCTCCACTGGCCAGGCGGCGGTGACCACCCAGTCCTACAAGAAATGAGGGCGGAGGCGGAGAGGGGAGAGGGGAGAGGGGAGGAGTGGAGAGGGGGGACTCATATGCTGCAAGGAAACCTGAACTGAACTGCTGGACGGCGGTGGTGGTGTCCAAGAGGTCCTAAGAAACTGCCCCCAGTGAGTGCGCGGGTCCTCAGCCGCGGTGTGTGTGATGTTACATCGAATCCCCCCCTCGGGGGTACCCCGAGGATGGGGTTGGGGATGGGGTTGGGGATGGGGTTGGGGTTGGGGATGGGGGGGATGAGCTCATGGGGGAATGAGTGGAAACAATTGAACATGACGTGCTGATGCACGCAGCAGCAGCAGCAGCAGCAGCAGCAGCAGCAGCAGCAGCAGCAGCAGTAGCAGCAGCAGCAACAGCTGATGATGAATGGGGTCATCCTCCGCGGTTCGGATCCGACCACAATGTAACACACAGGGCAACGGAAGAGAGAGGGGCCTCAGAGACGTCGTTACGCAAGGCGTTATAATTAAGTAGCACTAAGCTGCACATGCCAAGAAGCAGCAGCTATGGCACGCTACACTTCCCGCCCCGCAACGAGGGCGAGGAGGAGGACAGAGGTCCAGGGACGGGAGGGACGGGACCAAGGCCGCATACACACACACACGCATACACGCATGCGCATACATACAGACACGTACGGACATGTGGACGTGTGTATGCCGCCACACACGCACCTGCACGTATTCCTCCTCCTCCTCCAACAACAACAACGAGAACCGCCGTACACGAGCGGCGCGTGCGCCGTACATGGTTGCGGCTCCGAAGCACGCTTCAATCCACCTCTGCTTTGCTGCCTCTCCCGCCCCCCTCTACTGGGCGCGAGGACGGTAACTGCACTACGGCGGCACCCACCGCGCCGATTTCCCACCCGGGCAGAGTGGGGGTGGTTGGGCCGTTGTCGTCCTGCTGCTGCTGCTGCTACTGCTGAATGAATGTATGATCTTGCAGAGGATCCAACCGGAATGCTGCTGCTGGCGATGCTGCTGCTGCAGGAGATGGCGGTAGGTCCTCCCCGCTGCGTGACTTAACTTCGATGCCCGACTTAAACCCCGGTTCACTGCTGCTACCCGGCTAAAGTTGTTGACCGCCTGCCTACCTGCCTACCTGCCTACCTACCTCCCTATCTCCTCCACCTCTTTCACCGCCCTCCAACAAATCCCGATCTGGGTCGCAGTCGCCTCGCGAGGTGGGCTCCAGGGAACTGATCCCGTCCTGAGTTCCTGACCGGACCGCTTCCCTTTCCCCCTTCCTTCGCCTCCCCGCCCTGCGCCGCCGCGTTCTCCCTTTTCCCCCTCCAAAAACACAAGGTCCCCCGCTGCCGGGCAAGCAACAACCGCTTATCTGCCGTAACAGCTTCCTGCTGCCCGGCTGGCTGGCTGGCTGGCTGGAGGGGACTCCCTGTGCTGGCTGCAGCCCGAGAGGAACTACAACTGGAGCGATGAGCTAAAGCCGCAGCTTACAGCAGTTTAAATTCCTGGCGGCCAAGGGGGCACGAAAGCCTGATACTGGGGCCCTATGCGAGGCTTCCGGGGCTCTGCGCGGCCCTGAATCTTTGAGGTGCTCAGGCGCACGGCCTTCGAGCGGCGGTGAGGGGGATCTAAGTCGAGGAAGTCGTCGGAGTCGTCTTGGGACCCGGGGACGGAGGAGTGGTGGTCGGGGAGAGGGTTTGGATCTAGATCGCCTAGATCCAGCGGATGTTTTCGCTGCCGTTGCGGCGTCGATGAGCTGCTGATGGGATGGCTACAGGAGACGGTGAAAGACTGCGGTTGGAGTTCAAAGTGAGGTGAATAGAACGGAGCGAAGGCAAGGGAAGCTGCTGCTGCGGTCCCTGCGGGTGCCGGCGCTGGGGCTGCGAATTCGTGTGGGATGCAAGCGCCTCGAGGTGGACCTTGAGCCGAGAATACCGTGTCGGGATGATCACACAGAAGGCCACGTTTATATGCGTGGGTGAAGCGCGCCTTAGGGGGAAGCTGAGCGTGCTGCTGGTCGACGGTTGAAAGTTCACTGCCAAGATGAGCTTCCGTAGGGGCAGAGAGCCCGCTGCTTGCCAGCAACCTATCGGCCTGCCGCTTCGACGCTATGCCATGTCCTTCTTGTTCTTCGTTCATGTAACACTATGCAGCTGTGGGGGAAACTTCTATTTTTTTCCACGGGGCGACCAGTCAAGCGAAGTACAGCAGGCAGGAAGCTATAATAACAACAGAAAGCCACTCAACAGATCATGCGAATATCAACGGCATATCACAAATCTTTTTGGATGATTTCTGAAAGTCCAACCGGCAACTGCCAAGCCGTACAAGCCTGGGATAGGGCCAGCAGGATGTGTTCGCGACCCATGACAACTTACAGACAGACGTTTCCTCTGGGCTTGTCGTTGCAGCCACAGCTCATATATCTGGAACCCCGGCGTCCTCTCAGTCGCTCACGACACGCACAATGGCGATGAGGAGGTTACTGGATGATCACGACGACATGGACTTCAAGGAGGTTCTGCTCAAGCATATTGCGCCAGGCTTGGGCTGCATCATCGCATTTTTGATGTGAGCGCGCCACAGTTTCGTAAACACGTGTCACGGCACGTCCTTCAGCTGCCCAAAACAAATGCCAGGCAATAAGCACATCCCGCGACAACATCGCAGGTTTGTCAGTCCGCTAAAGGCTGTGCTGCAAGTCCGTGCGAGCAAGCACCTTGGGGTGAGTCGTCACGATGTCCGGCACCTTTCCTTTCGGCGCTTCAAACCTTACTGCGGCATCTTCTAGGAAGCTAAGGAACGCTTGCAAAATTCCGTTTCAAGGGGGCACTATTACATTGAGGCATCCTTCTGCCCGTGTTTCATATTTCATATTCACCTTTACAAGTCGGTGTTTGGTTGTCAAACGGTCCGTGTCAAACGGTCCTGCCATCCCGCGTATCTCACACAAAACTGCAAGCAACCAACCGCATCTGTAACCCCAGAGTAAAGGAGATTCGCGGCTTCCCCTTCCTTTAGCAGCAGCAAGAGCCTTATGCGACGACCTGGCCCTGATCTGAGATTTCCCCCAACCCCCTCGCGGCCCCAAGCCATCTAGAAGATACCAAACACGCTTCCTCCCCCCCGCCGCATTACACATCGCCGCCTTCTGAACGTCTCCTCAAACCCCTTCACGACCCCTGTAGACATAGCCAGATAGCCGTTTCAAATGCGGACGCTGCAAGACTTCCGAGTGGTCACCAGGGTCATGCGGATATGCATCCTTTACGAAACCCCAAGCCCGCCGGGCCCCCTTTTCTGCGGCAGGATCAAACATGCGCGCGGGGTTTTTCAGCACCTCTACCCTCACCCACCCCCAGACCATGAGGCTGCCCTACCAGCCGCGCAAAGCAAGGAAAACAAACAACCAGCAGAGCCAGCGAAATCGTACGACGAGTACGGCAACCCACAGCAGTTATCTGTGTGTCTGTCTGTAGGATTTGAACCCGCTGCCGCTGGTGGCCATCATCGCCAACTGTGCCGCCTGGCTGTTGTACGGCTGCATCAACGCGGATCCGTACGTCATTCTTGCCAACGAACCGGGGCTGCTGCTGGGGGTGTTTATGACGGTGTCCAGCTACGGCTTTGCGGACCCCAGGGTGAGCCAGGAAAGGTTTTTGATTTTGATTTTGATTGATCCTAAATACAAAGGGAAAAAAACGACGTCCCGATGCTGCTGCTGCTGCTGCTGCTGCGTTCCTGGCACACCCACACCCCGGCTACACACGCACCCCCACTTCCGGAGTGTAACCTCTCATGTTGTGTTCGTGTCACCTGCTCAGTAACCACGTAATTCTACATAATTTAGCTATGTATATATATAATATAACATACATACATACATACATACATACATACATACATACATACATACACGCGTACCTGGAGCTGGTTACATTCAGATGTACGGCTGTGCGACTACCCACCAACACTTCCCGTCTGGGGCCCACAGCACCTGTGGCTGCTGGGGGCGTCGACAGCGGCGGATATCCCCCCGTGCACGTTTTGATTTCCCCCCGCACCCCTAACCCTCCCCCAACATCAACACACCACCAACATCACCACCACACCACAACCACCACCACCAGGCTCGTGACCTGATGCTCAAGGCCCTGCTGTTCTTCACGGTCATCATCAGCGGAGCAGGAATCACCATCGCGCTGTTTGTTGAGAGGGACCACACCGCCTCGCTCATCTCGTAAGGGAGGGAGGGAGGGAGGGCGAGGGAGGGAGAGAGGGGGGAGGGAGGGAGACGAAAAACAATGGGACGGGAGCGACATCCGCATCCGTTTTCGTCCTGCATCACCTGCCCACATCTGTGTCCGCCTCCCTGTGGTGTCGAGTGCGGATCCACAGCCACCGCCAGCAGGACGTGTAAAGCCTGGGAGTCCGGGAGCTTTATTGCAGGTTCCAAGTCCTCGTCTTTCTGTCCACGCCTTTCCGTCCACACTTCCCCTTGGACCGTCACCGGCTCAGCTCGCCCGCCCTTCGCGTGCGTCTCTTAATACGTATCTCCCCCCTTATAGTGGGGGAATTACCCCTCGACTCCAAACTCCGCCTGGTGGTCCCCCTTTTTCATTAATGCGCCTCCACCAATGAGCCTCCCACTCGTCTGAGGCTCGTCCCACTTCCCCTCCCTGGCCCTGCCTTACCGGTCCCCCCATCATTCCCCCACGCCCCCACCCCCAGCGGCTACACGGCCGTGTTCGTGTTGCTGTGCTACTACGGCGCCCCCCTGTCCACCATATCCGAGGTGGTCAGGTCCCGGTCCTCCGCGTCCCTCTTCTGGCCCATCAGTGTAATGAACACAGTCAACGGACTGCTGTGGGTGGCGTACGGCACGGTACGGCGGGGTTTTGAGGCGGCTAGGGGAAAAGGGGAGGGGAAAAGTGGTGTTGTGTGGAAAAAGGTTTTGGGTTGCGGGCGGTGGTATCTGGAGTCCCGGAGAGGGGATGAAGGGTGGGGGGAAAGGGGGGAACGTGTAATACACATGTACGTGTAATCGCGTGCTGTGCATGTTGTGCGTGCCAGGACAGGTGCGCGATACGGAACGTTATGGCAGTACATGGCAGCTGCACTTGAGGGACTGTGAGGGGCGCCCTCAGCGATGGCAGCGCCTCGGCTGCAGCCCTCCCCCCCTGCTCTGGGTTCATGGCACTCGGGACACAGGGGATATCGGTTATCATCCCCAGTATCGGTTATCATCATCATCATCATCACCATCATCATCATCATCATCATCTTACTCTGCTGCTGCTGCTACTGCTACCTTCATCGTGGCGAGTGTCGCGAGCACACCTCCCCCCTCCCGCCTCTCTTCCATTCTTCTATTCTGCACTACGATTCCCCGTTACCCCCCTACCTCCTTACCCCACCCTACGCTACGGCACCGCCTCCAGGCTGTTGAAGATTTGTTCATTGCGGTCCCCAACGCCATCGGAGCCACGTTCGGGCTCATTCAGCTGGTGCTCATTCAGTGCTACCCGGCGAAGAAGTAAGTCGTGGGTCGGTGTGTGTGGGGGTGTGTGGGGGGTGGCATACTTGTGGGGAGGGGAAGGTTTGGGCGAGAGAGTGGGCATGTGTGGTGTGGTGTGGTGTGGTGTGGTGTGGTGTGGTGTGGTGTGGTGTGGTGTGGTGTGGTGTGGTGTGGTGTGGTGTGGTGTGGAGGAGGAGGTAGGCGCCAGTCTGGCTCAGAGGCTGCCCACTGCCCGGTACCGTCTGAGCTACGCGAAGGGTTGGGAGAGAAGGGAAACTGCAGGGCCGGCCGCCATCCACATCTCCATCTATAGCTGAACAACAGCTACTGCTCCAGGGCAGCAGTGGTTAGCTAACCACTGCTAACCAAGTGAATCAGCAGCAACAGCAAAGGCGGGAAGATAGCTGAAAAGGCCCGGTAGCTGAGCCACTGAGCTCAGAAAAAAAGGCGTTATTTCCAGTAACCCACCACACGAGCCACTCCTGGGAGGGTCCATGATGGGCCCCCACAAACCCGTGCACCTTGCTGTGTGTGCGTGTGTGTGTGTTACAGGGTTGGGGGTGCGTGACCCCATACCTGTAAAACTAACCATACGAGCCGAAGGCACAAGGGCCACCTTGCTGTGCGTACGTGCGTGCAATCCCCCGTCTGTCTGTCTGTCTGTCCATCCGTCCGCCATTCCGCCGACGCCGCAGGGCGGTGGTGGCGGTCGGTGGCGACAGGGGCGACTCAGACCCCCTTCTCCAGGACTCAAAACACGTGGCATGAGAGAGGGCTCAGGGGGATAAGATGAGGAGGAGATATTACCGACAATGGCATGATGGGGATGAGGACGTGAAGTGGGAACCGAGGCACCTGCGCGGCGAGGCTGCGCGGCAGCTCGGTGCCATGTCGTCTGGTCGTTGTTCGTTTGTTCGTTTGAATTGAGAAATTTACTCTTAAGGGTTTTTTTATGTGTGTATGTTGGAGGGAAGCGGGGGAGAAAGCCCTCTGAGAGAGACCCCGCGTGGTGTCACGGGAAAATTTGATACACACAGTATTTAAATTCTACTCACGAAAAGCGGAGGGAGGAAACCTTCTGATTCCTTTACCTGGCCACCATACTACGGTCCCGTCCTCCCCAGCTTGTGTGTATGTATGTATGTATGTATGTATGTATGTATTGTGTGTGTCGATGTATCATCGATGTATGTGTGTAGGTGCACTTTCGTTTCCTCGCCTACGGGCTATGGCTAAGATGTGTGGCTGGGGAGCTGACGGAAGGGGGACTGCTAGCGCCGATCCGCACGCCTGAAAGAGGAAAGAAAGAGGAGAGGGGGAGGAGAAGGAAGACAACAAAAAAAGAAAGGGGAAAGACAGGGGACAGGAGGGAGGAGGGAGGGAGAGAGGGACGGGAGCGAACGGCACCGGTATAGGACCAGGGGGGCACCGACAGGGCCCTAACACCCCTGTGACCCCCCTGTTGCGGCTGGTGATGTGGTGGTGCGGGGCTTCGGGTACGGGTTTTTCATTACAACTGGCATTTCTTGCTCGTCCTGTTTTACCGGAATCCTGGGTACCGGAAATACCGTGGAAAGGTCTGTGGAGGGCTTTTGGGCCGTTTAGTGGTGTAGTAGTGAGTATCGTTGAGTGAGTTTCGGAGCCGATGTGAAATATGAATTTTGGAGTACAGGGAAGGGAAATGATGCGACTGTAGTAAGGGAAGCAGCAGCAAAGGAATGTCGCCTCATGAAGCGCCCGGCCATACATGCATACATACGTGTGTGCATCTTCCGTACATACATACATACATACGTACATACCAAAAGCCTTTCCTTGCGCTTCCAGGAGCAGCTCCTCAGTGGGGCTTGAAGATAGTAGACTTCTGTTGTACGGACTTTTGTACGGCACAATCCTATCCGGCCATCGTACTGGCATATTACGAAGCAGCGAGCGAGCCAGAGGGGAGCAACGGAGGGAGAGCGTGTGAGAGCGTTAAAGAGGGGACGTAAGAGAGTGCGAACCGGGGATATACCCGCGGAATGACCCACGGACCGTGTGATGAATATCCAGCTAACGTTTGTAATATAAACACAATGTACGACGCTGTAACGTTTGTCTCTCGCAGCCTCCTCACACGCTTTCCAAGTTACTCTTGGATCCAGTTCCCCTCTCGGTCCGGATTCGTCCCGGTTGGATGGATTCGATGTGGATTCAGGTCATCTTCCGTACAGTGATATATGATCCCCAAATGATGTTGTCCCTGATGATGTATGATTGCTCCCTGCTTCCTCCCGCCCGCCCCGGGGGCTGCTTACGCCGCCGTCGCCACCATCGCACGTCCTCTCGTCGTTGCGCCGTCGCCGTCGTCGCCGTCGTCGCCGCCGCCATCGCCACCATCGCCACCATCACCGCCATCTCCGGTACCGATGATCCCGATGACGCCTTCTTCCGCCTTCCGGCTTCCCGACGACGGACACGTCCACCTCGCTGCCACCACTACGACTGCTGCTACTGCTGCTGCCACTACAACTGCTACTGCTGCCAACCATAACAATGCTGGCAACAACCTCATTTTCGGTACGGCATTACGCGGCGCCTCTTCGACCTCTTCTTTTGTTTACTCAATTTGGAAATTGCGGTGGTCCATCTGTCCATCTCCCTGGATGTTCTCACTCTCGCATCTCTCTCGCACGGGTCGCGGGGATCCTGATCTGACGACGGAAATTGGAAACGACGGCAGGAGTACGGACGACAGTACTGCAGCGGGAGAGTACGAACCCCTGCGGAACGAGGGTACGGCGTGAACCAGAGCCGCCTGGCGTGCGAATATGCCCAGCGAGAGCGTGTGGGGCCCTAAGGGCCGCCTCGATAATACCTTCGCATCATTAATTTATTTGTTCTGTCCTCTCAATGTCATTGAGGTTGTACTGCACTCGCCGCGGAGGCCGCGGAGGCCGTGTCCTAAACAGGTTGTTCCCGGGGCCCCCTACTCGGAATGACGAGTGAAGGAGGGAGGGGGGGAAGGAGGGAAAGGGTTTGCAGTATGTGGATGTTGATAAATGTGTTGATTTTTTTAAATGTGTTGATTTTGCAGTGTTGTGTTGGTGGTGGTTGGTGGTGCTTTTGGTGGTGGTGCTGCTGCTGGATGTACGACCTCCGGTCGACCGCGAGGGTCGCACCGGTGCGTGCTGTGCGGCTTCCTGCCTGTCTGTTTGTGTATCCGTCTCGTTTGGCTTTTTTTGCGCTCAGATGCCGTACAGGGGGTAGGGGATCGTCAGCGTTCGACGGACGACACGTTCCACCTCTCCCTCGTTGAAGGGAAGGCCGTTCTTTAGGAGCCGCCTGGTTTAGGAGCCGCCTGGTTTAGGAGCCGCCTGGTTTAGGAGCCGCCTGGTTTAGGAGCCGCCTGGTTTAGGAGCCGCCTGGTTTAGGAGCCGCCTGGTTTAGGAGCCGCCTGGTTTAGGAGCCGCCTGGTTTAGGAGCCGCCTGGTTTAGGAGCCGCCTGGTTTAGGAGCCGCCTGGTTTAGGAGCCGCCTGGTTTAGGAGCCGCCTGGTTTAGGAGCCGCCTGGTTTAGGAGCCGCCTGGTTTAGGAGCCGCCTGGTTTAGGAGCCGCCTGGTTTAGGAGCCGCCTGGTTTAGGAGCCGCCTGGTTTAGGAGCCGCCTGGTTTAGGAGCCGCCTGGTTTAGGAGCCGCCTGGTTTAGGAGCCGCCTGGTTTAGGAGCCGCCTGGTTTAGGAGCCGCCTGGTTTAGGAGCCGCCTGGTTTAGGAGCCGCCTGGTTTAGGAGCCGCCTGGTTTAGGAGCCGCCTGGTTTAGGAGCCGCCTGGTTTAGGAGCCGCCTGGTTTAGGAGCCGCCTGGTTTAGGAGCCGCCTGGGCATACATGGTTGAGGGCGGAAGGACATTTCCTTCCTCTCCGCCGAAACTGGGGACAGGTAGAGCAGGTTGCGCAAGTATAGCGGTGATGATGATGATGGTGGTTGTGGTGGCACCGAATCCAATTCGTGACCTTTGAAAATGTCTAGGAACTAGAAAAACGGAGCAAGGGCAGAGAAAGTGACAGCTTTTATGGCGTGCGATGTGAAGGGAGATGTCAAGTTCCCACGCCATCCTTCTTAAGGGGACAGATCTGGAGGCTGGTGGCTAGCGTTGCTGTGGCCGGGTTTGGGAAGAGATTCTTGCTGTGTGAGAGTGGCAAAACGATGAGAATTTTGCTTTTGGGTGATTATGTGTTTTAGGGTTAGCGGAATACCGTACGTAGGCTTTAGGCGCAAATTAGATAGGCAAGTTTGTTTTGGTATCTTTCCATTAAAACCTTTTTCTGATACAAATTATACAGGTTGTACGGCACTGTCGTACATCGATGCAAGGTTCCTGTGTCCCCTGGTACCGTACTGTACCGTACCGACATATCCTAAAACTCGTCAAGCGAGTCCTGGTGACTATAGATTACGGTAGGAAACAACAGTATTGGGTACAACAGCAACAACAACAGCAACTTGTGATTAAAAAAGAACTGACGGCGCAAAAATTACGTGGTGTTGCCCCTGCTGTGCCCACGCCTGTCTCTGTGTGGGGGTGGTGGGGAAGGTAGGAAGCGGGCCACTCGTTCAAAGCCCTATATCGGGCCACTCGTTCGCTAAAGCATAAAGAAGTCCATAACCCCGTCCTCCCTCCTCTCCTGACCAATAACTCAACTCGCGACAAAAAAAGCGACAAAAAGGGAACAACAATAATCGTAATAATGTTAGTATGTAAACAGATGCTGCCCCCGTCTCGTTATCGGCCTGCTATTGCTAGCAATTGCTCTAAATGCATACATGCCCCGAAACCAAAAAGTACGGCAATCTAAAGGATATAATTGCTACTGCGTGAAGCAGCAGCCAGCACTACAGCGGCCGCTAGCGCAGAGGCCGCTACGAAAAAAAAACCACTCTTCACTGCCTGTACGGCACTCGGTCTGAAACAGGGGGGTAAAAACAAGGAAAAAGTCTAGGGAAACCGCAGCAGGTGCGTCCTCCTTCCTAGAGCCCGGAAAAGCACAGATGCGGTAGGAAAAAATCACACTCCCTTCTTGTCGTATCGCCGCCGTACATCACAAACATGATTGTTACGGTGCGCGCACTGCACGCTCACTCCAGCTGCGGTTGCACACGGCGCCGGAAAAAGAAGAAAATTAAGAAGAAGGAAAAGAAGGAGAAGAAGAAGAAAAAAGGGGAAGCGAGGGGCTGTTCACACACACCACCACATATATGCACAAGCACCTCTCCCCCTCTTCCCCTCCCCCACTCCGCATAGATGCACACAGACGGCACCACCCTTGATTGGCAACGCAAGGAAAAACATTTTAGAAATCAATCAACGCAAAAAAGCAGCCGACGCAGCCATCCGCGAGTACACGCTCTTCCCACGATGTTCACGTACAAACACACATACACACAATGGGTCCGGTCTTTCTTTCCCCCCCTCCTGGGCGGTTGGGGGATACTAATATACTGCCCCAAGCCACATCACAACTCCAACGCGCAACAAAACAAAATACTCAGTCACATTCTTGAACCTGGCATGAAAACCGAAATCGCATTCGCACACCACAACCAATACACTCCCCCGGGGGCGGCCCCCCCCCCCCCGACATTTCTTCACTACGTGGGTTTCTTAATTTGGCAATCTAGCGCAAACACACACGCGCACACACATGCACAGACAGACACACACACAGACAGACAAACACGCGCACACACACACACACCGTATCACCCAAAGACCCAAAGAGGACAGCGCACTCCGCTACTCAGTGAGGGAGGGGATTACGCCTCTGCACTCCACCCCTTCACTTTGATACACACACACACACACACGGGTCGTCTTTCCAACCCCCCAACTCCGCCAACCTTGCCATCAACACCACCCCTTCAACTGCCTTCTCCACATCCAACCCACATCCAACCACTCCAACTGACAAGCACAACCACTCGTCACAGCACAACCACTTCCTGTTACCCCCTTACCCACCTAACTTAACACCTTTTACCTGTAGCCGCGGAGGCCTAGTGCCCACGGTCACAGGCATGCAGTTTGTAACTCTACTACCCCAACTAACTAACTAACTAACTAACTACGCCGGTAGGCAGTTAGGCAGTTAAGTGAATATTTGTGGGCGGGTGGGTGGGCGGGTAAGAGAGATTAAAAAAAGATAGGAAGATAGGAAGCAGGACATGTCTTCACAAGCCGCGGGAGATCTTCTTAAAAAAGTACGATTGCTCGAAATCCCGTTCCTCGCCCTCGTGCTCGTGCTTGCCCGTGAACACCGGCCTGACGTGTCGCGGGGTGGAGTGGGGTGGGGTGGGGTGGGGTGCGGGGTAAAGGGGAGGGGCAACATGGTAGTGAGGGGGGCAGAAGAATGAGTGCTTTGTGGGCGGAGTGTGACAGAAATCAAGTAGTGGGTGATGAACACACGGGAGGGGGGGTGAGCAGGCACTTACACTGGTCTTGAGCGGTATCGTGCCGGTTTTCCCCCAAGTTTTCCACCAGGTCGTTATGCGATAAGTAAAACAACAAGACCCCCGGTTCTAAAACACAGGCCTCCAAGCACACGTACATACATGCATACATACATGTGTGTGTTACATGGTTGGGGTGCGTGACCCCATACCTGTAAAACTACACATACATACATACATACATACACGCACGCTGGCACACCACCATCAGCCCTTCCCTCCCTGCCCTACTTGAAATTGTAGATGAGCAGCTCGTCCTCCTCGATGATGTTCTTGGCCATGTGCAGGTTGCGACGGGCCTCCGCCACAAAGAAATTGGCCACCTCCTGGCTCATGCGAATCTACCATCACGGGGTGCACACACACACACACACACACACACACACGCACACACACACGGGGAGCCGGGTCGGGACGTTGCCGTGACACCGGGTCGGGGGGGAACAGGGGGAAAGACGGCGGGGATTGGGAGGAACGTGGAATGGGGATGTTGCGTCGGGGGGACGAGAATCACTTAAACATGACACGCATGCATATATACATACACAAACACATACATACACCCAGCACACATACTCCCAGCACGGAAACTTAGCTAAGGCCGTAGAGGGAGGAGGACAGGGAGGGAAGAGGGAGGACAGGGACGAGACACCTCTTATCGGGTTCTTATCCTCTCGTTCCCGCCCCCGCCCACCCACACTCACACATCCCCCCCTCTCCCCCTTCTCTCCCCCCCTCTCTCTCCCTCTCCCTCTCCCCCTCCCCCCCCCCTCTCTCTCACCGCGTCAGTGGTGTGGGGTATGTGCAGGTGCGGCGTCCACTCGTAGGCGTTCTTCTCCGGGTGCCACTGTGTGGCAGTGAAGGGGTAGTTGCGACCCTCCAACGTGCTGATGTACGCAGCGCCGCTCTTGTCCAGACTCAACGACACCACGCGGAAGAAGCGGCCCAAAGCCGGGTTCTCCAAAAAGGCCGTCATAGACAAACCTGCGTGTGCGTGTGTATGTGCGTATGTGTGTTTGCGGGGAGGAGGGAAGAAAGGGGGAAGGAGGGGAGAGGGGGGAAGTTTGTAAGCATTAAGAACCACCAAAGAGGCAACCGCGGGGGCGCCGAGGTGGGGTTTTGGACGTGTGTGTGCATGTGAGCGTATGTGTATATGTTTTTCGGGGGCGGTTAGGCAGGTCGGAAAAAAGCCTACGTAAGCACTACAGGCAGCTCACCGGCGGCGGCGGCGGCGGCGGGGGAGAGGAGAGGAGAGGAAAACCCACATCGCGGAGCCGGCCATCATGGTGTCCACACACCACACTCTCTCTTTCTCTCTCTCTCTCTTCCCCTCACACAGACACGCAGA